TTAGGCGTCTGATAATTATCGAGGCTAGTATTTTAGATATTATATTAGTTAAACTAATTCCTCTGTGGTTGTCACAGGATGATTGTGTATGGTGACAAGGATGTTTGAAGTTGTTGTTGGTGTTGTTTCTGTTGTATCTAGTGAGAGTTTGTGTGTGGAGGTGTGTATATTTGCGACATGTTGTCGGTGAAGGAATACGAGGCGTTTGTTGTGTATTGGATTTATTTGATTGTACTGACTATGGTTTATGTTGATGAGGTGTGTCAGAGACGTGGGTGACAGTCATGAATGTTGGGTTGTTGTGTGTTGTTGGGTGTTGGTGAATATGGGTGATGAGTTTGATGCGGCATGGCATGTGATGAGTGAGTTCGATTGTATGTGTGTGTGTGTGTCTGTTGTTGGTTTGTTGAGTGTTTGAATTTGTCTGTTAGTCGAGGTGATTGTTGTGCAAGAGCTCCACATTCCTGGTTGTTGTTCCATGGAATACTAATGACCTTGCGAGATGAATGTTCACCTGTGTTGTTGTGTCTGCCTCTGTGAAAGGGTGCGCACACGCACAGACGTACATCCAGATAGATAGAGAGACGTCTGACGTTTGAATGTTTATTGCAGACGATGTTTGCTGTGATGATGAGTGGTCGAATGTGTTGTGTGGTAGGTAATTTCGATGTCTGAGTGTGGTTGATGAGTCAGTTTGCGAATGGATTTGGTGAGGGTGTTGTGTTGTGTTGTTTGGTTTGTGATCGTCTAGCGCGATGTTCTTTGTGCGATGTAGAGAGCAGTGTAGTTCGTGTGATCATGCGATAGCTTGTGTCCGCGTGTAACAATATTAATGTAAGCATATGTATATATATATATATATATATATATATATATATATATATATATATATATATATATATATATTTCTGTGACGAATGCGAGGTGATTGTGATAACATAATTGTGGTGTGAGTTGTGAGTTGAGTTTTCGCTGAGTGTGTGTGTGTGTTGAGCAGTCGGTTGGTGTTTGCTATGTGTGTTATGTGGATAAGATTTCTCCCTGTCGTTGGTGTATTGTATTCGTAGGAACTGATCTGTTTGTTTGGAGATTGTGTTATGTTATGTCGGAGAGTGTGGTTGTGGGTGCTAGGAAGACAGACTGTTGAGAGAGTGTATACTGAGTTATTTTGTTGAGTTGAGAACGAGATGTGGCAGTTGTGATGTATATTTGTTTGGTGGTATTTGTTTTTGATAGTGAAGGAAGGCGTGACGATGTACTGAAACGACGAATGACTGTATGACAAATTGATTGATTGTGTATGGTGACAAGGATGTTTGAAGTTGTTGTTGGTGTTGTTTCTGTTGTATCTAGTGAGAGTTTGTGTGTGGAGGTGTGTATATTTGCGACATGTTGTCGGTGAAGGAATACGAGGCGTTTGTTGTGTATTGGATTTATTTGATTGTACTGACTATGGTTTATGTTGATGAGGTGTGTCAGAGACGTGGGTGACAGTCATGAATGTTGGGTTGTTGTGTGTTGTTGGGTGTTGATGAATATGGGTGATGAGTTTGATGCGGCATGGCATGTGATGAGTGAGTTCGATTGTATGTGTGTGTGTGTGTCTGTTGTTGGTTTGTTGAGTGTTTGAATTTGTCTGTTAGTCGAGGTGATTGTTGTGCAAGAGCTCCACATTCCTGGTTGTTGTTCCATGGAATACTAATGACCTTGCGAGATGAATGTTCACCTGTGTTGTTGTGTCTGCCTCTGTGAAAGGGTGCGCACACGCACAGACGTACATCCAGATAGATAGAGAGAAGTCTGACGTTTGAATGTTTATTGCAGACGATGTTTGCTGTGATGATGAGTGGTCGAATGTGTTGTGTGGTAGGTCATTTCGATGTCTAAGTGTGGTTGATGAGTCAGTTTGCGAATGGATTTGGTGAGGGTGTTGTGCTGTGTTGTTTGGTTTGTGATCGTCTAGCGCGATGTTCTTTGTGCGATGTAGAGAGCAGTGTAGTTCGTGTGATCATGCGATAGCTTGTGTCCGCGTGTAACAATATTAATGTAAGCATATATATATATATATATATATATATATATATATATATATATATATATATATATATATATATATATATATATATATTTCTGTGACGAATGCGAGGTGAGTGTGATAACATAATTGTGGTGTGAGTTGTGGTTTCGGTTTTTGCTCTCCATTGTTCCATTCGAGTAGTGGGGTGAGGAAGGGTTGCCCAATCTCACCATTCCTCTTCAACTTTGCCATCGATGACATTCTGGAAACAGCTGTGATGAATGTCAGTAATGGTGGTGTGGATCTGTTGCCTGGAGAAAGACTTCTCGACCTTGAGTAAGCGGACGATATTGTCTTACTGTGCGACAATGCCCAAGGCATGCAATCCGCACTTAATCAGTTGGCAATCAGTGTCCTTAGGTATGGTATGTGCTTTGCACCTTCGAAGTGCAAAGTTCTTCTACAAGACTGACAGGATTCTTATCCTGTACTCACCCTGGATGGTGAGCAGATAGACGTAGTCGAGAAGTTCGTGTATCTGGGTAGCTGCATAAGTGCTGGTGGGGGTGTGAGTGATGAGATCAATGCACGTATAGTGAAAGCCAGAGTGGCCTATGCCAATCTGGGCCATCTTTGGCGCCTTCGTGATGTTAGTCTGGCTGTAAAAGGTCGAATCTACAACGCGTCGGTGAGAGCAGTTTTGCTCTATGCTTGTGAAACCTGGCCTCTCCGAGTTGAGGACGTTAGACGACTCTCTGTGTTCGATCATCGGTGTCTCCGAAGGATTGCTGATATTCAGTGGCAACACCATGTCAGTAATGCAGAGGTTCGGCATCGTGTGTTCGGGCACAGAGATGATAATTCAATTGGTGTCACCATCTTGAAACACTGACTTCGGTGGCTTGGAAATGTTCTACGAATGTCGTCCCAGAGAATTCCACGTCGTGCATTATTTGCCGACTCTGGGACTGGTTGGAGAAAGCGGAGAGGTGGTCAGTGCATGACATGGTGTCGTGGTATGAAAGAAAGCTGCAAAGGACTGGCTTCTGTCGGTCCTTCACGACTCCCTGGTTGGGGTCTGAGAGATGGTGCTACACAGTGGCCAGAGACGTTATCAGATATGGCTCAGAATAGAAGCCAGTGGCGATCCTGCTGTAACCTTCTTTTACTTTCTTCATAAAAAGTGGTTGTGTCTCCCTTACTTGAAATATTTCTTCTGATTGTACCTTTCCGTTCCATCGTTACGACCACACTACCTTACACCAATCTCTTCGTTATCGTTCTCTTTTTCTTTTGTGGTCCTTAGTTTTTGTTTTTTTCTATCTCTCTTCGAATTTTCATTGTTTTGTGTGGCGCATATATATTGGCGCTCTCTTGTACCAATATTTATGTGTTCAAATAATAATAATATGTTGTGTGTTGAGCATTCGGTTGATTTGTACTGTTTGCGGTTTATTAGATTTTCTGTCGTTCTCTTTTAATGCTCTGGTCTGTGGTATTGTTCCATTTTTTTGATATTATGAGTTTGATTTGTGTTATTGTGTAATGTTCTCTTTATCCGGAACTCATACGACGGTCTACAGTGCAAAGTCGTGCATGGAGGACAGCTGACAAATGCATTCCAAGTAAGGACCGGAGTAATACAAGGCTGTTTACTCTCTCCCTTCCTCTTTCTTCTGGTGGTCGACTGGATTATGAAGACCTCGAGATCTGAAGGAATACACGAAATACAATGGACAGCTCGAAATCAATTAAACGATGTGGACTTCGCAGATAACCTAGCCCTCCTATCGCATATACATGAACAGTTGCAGACAAAGACAGCCAGTGTGGCAGCAGTCTCTGCATCAGTAGGCCTCAGCATACACAAAGGGAAAACCAAGATCCTCAAATTCAAGGCGGAGAACAGCAATCCAATCACTCTTGATGGCGAAACTCTGGAAAATGTAGAGTCCTTCACATACCTAGGAAGCATCATCGATGAACAAGGAGGTTCAGATGCAGACGTAAAGGCAAGGATTGGCAAAGCAAGGGTCGCATTCCTACAATTGAAGAACATATGGAACTCAAAACAACTTTCAACCAATATCAAAATGAGAATCTTCAATACCAACGTCAAGGCAGTTCTACTGTATGGAGCTGAAACTTGGAGAAGTACAACAACCACAATCAAGAAAGTACAAGTATTTATAAATAGCTGTCTACTCAAAATACTCAACATCCATTGGCCGGATACCATCAGCAATATCCTTCTGTGGGAGAGAACAAACCAACTTCCAGCTGAAGAAGAAATTAGGAAAAGACAATGGAAATGGATAGGACATACATTACGCAAATCGTCAAACTGCATCACGAGACAAGCCCTAACTTGGAATCCTGAAGGGAAGCGAAAAAGAGGAAGGCCAAAGAACACATTACGTCGGATAATAGAAGCAGATATGAAAACGATGAATTACAACTGGACGGAGCTAGAAAGGATTGCCCAGGACAGGGTTGGATGGAGAATGCTGGTGAGCGGCCTATGCTCCTTCACGAGGAGTAACAGGCGTAAGTAAGTAATGTTCTCTTATGTGATTTTTTTTAGTTATGTTTGTTGAATTAAGAAGATTTTGTTCGTTCTTCAGTTTTGGAATATCGTAGATTCCTAGCATAATCATTTTTAGGTTTTCTCCGTTCGTTCTTTTTCCGTTTATTTTATTTGCACATTTGATTCTCTAGTATACGGTAAATATTTTATGTCTCTACGTTGTTGTCTCGTTCATCGTATTTTCAATATTTTTGTTATTCGCTTCTCTACTTTAGTTTGTCATTTATCAAATGATGTGTGATGTGTTGTCGATCTAATAGTATGAATTTATTTTTAGTTTAATTGATTAGCTTATTTTGCATCTGATTCTTTCATGGTATATTTTTTAAACTTTATTAGCCATCTGTGTCTTTGTTATACTGTTTGTTCTTTTCTCTTACTTTCCCTCTTTTTCAGAATTACGGTGCAATATTCAAAATGTTTCTGCGGAATATTTTTCATCACGTATCAGACTTATGTTGTGGACAAACTTAAATTAACACGGACTCCCCCACTTGTTACTTTTGATAGATCTTTCTATTTGAAATTTGCAATAGCAGTTTTCTGGAGAATACTTTTAAATCGGTCTTAAACTTGAAATTTTATGCATTTACTGTACTATTTTTTTATTATAAACAAGTTGATTTTACATTATTTCTCAACCACTACTATTCATCCTATTCTAGTATTAAAAAACACTAATTTTTACAAATTTTCGTAATAAACTTTCAAACCATAAATAATGCGTGAGAACAGATTGAGTTACTTTTAGATCTGTGGTTGACAGTCTACTTCCCAAGAATCTTAGTAGATTCATTTAAATAGGTACGTTTTCATTTTCAAGCTGTACTTAACAGATATTTAGTTTGGAATAAGCACGCATGTTTAAAATGTTTTATCGTTTCAGATTGTTATTACAGTTAAGCTTGGTATTAACTTCCAGTAATGTTTAGTAGGTCTAATTATTAAATAAATGATTTAGTTTGGATGTTACATACATTCAACAATAGCACTCTAAGCCCATTTCTGCAAAATGCGATCATTCGTACTATAATTACCAAACATTTCACTACACTTCACATTTTGCGTAAATACAGCGTCTCTGCATAGATATGTTCGAAGCACCCTACAGGTGTAAATGCCTTCCTGTATGTAAACTTCTGTTGATTGATTCACGTGAATAAATACCCTCAGCGTAACTGCTTTTCATCGATATGATTCCGGTAACTCAACTCCATTTGTTTTTTCTTAATTATGTCTACATTTTACTAATTGGAAGTCTATTTACATGTATTTGAGCAATCTGTCGAGCTTCTTACTAGGACTCATTACATGCTAGTAACTTTTTTGAACCCAGTCAACTAATCGCCTATTTTCCTAACACAACACTATTTCACATTAAAAAAATAATATGTAAGCTAAATTACCACACACCTTTGCATATTTTCTTTAAAGCCTAGTGGTTTAGATGTGTTTGTTAGTAATATAATACAGAAATAAGACAAATATACACACTTTATAAGTTTCATTTACAATAGTCATTTGCACTGTTAGTACTTATAGAAATTTTATCTCACCTTAAATTGGTTAATGTAATCTCTGATAATCTAAATATAAAGTATTAATTAGAAATTGTGTTGAATTGTCCTAGTAAAAACAGTTGATTGATTTGTAAGATAAACTCACTATTATAAGATTCCACAAACCAATAGATAAATTCTACTAGAATAACATTCAAATGAAATGTCATCATGTTGAATTAATGAATTTTCCTTCAGTTGGCCAAAGGTTTACTAAATAGTAAGTTACCAACATTCATATTGGTGAGATTGTAATTCAACTACATAATAACTACACAGATTTTTGAGGGATTCTTTTTGTTTCAGGCAGTCAGTAACAACGTAGAACTTCGTAGGTACGTACATCGGTTTGAGTTGCCATATCACATTAGCACAGAGATATAATTGTCAATTCAAATCCCAAAGTGGTAGATGTGGTAAGAGTATAAGCAGAAATCGGAAAGATTAGGGTTTGAAGATGTTATTCAAGGAGTATAATCCAGTGAAGTAAATTTGGAAAGAGTAGGAAGAAAGGGCCATTCAGAAGATTAGAATTTAGTCGCAGGATATACGAGCAATGTTTTGAAGACATCTATGATCAAATACTAGTAACCTACGAATATCCTCTACTCTTACCGGCCATGTCTCACAGCCATAAAATAGAACAGAACGAACTGCTGCGCAGTAAACCCGTCCTATGGTTGGTAGACGGATATCTCTCCCACGCCATAAATGACGCAAGTTGGCTAAAGCTAGTCGAGCCTTCTGTATCCGTGCTGAGATTTCGTCACACACCAGATCACAAGGGCTGATGAGACTTCCAACTATTTCACTCCCTATCACTAGTCCAGATGTCGATGCAACCCAATCCTGAAGCACATTTTGCACTTCGAGGGGGAGAATCGCATGTCGAACATGACTGTATTTTTGCTTAGAGTGGTCAGAAGACTCTGCATTTCCTCAGCGTCTTCACGAAATAGAACTATGTCATCGACATATTCTAAGTCAACAAGTGAATCTCCCGGTAAAAGTTCACCCCCTGGAAATTTAGATGAGGAAAGTGTTATCTCTAAAAGCACGTCAACGACAAAGTTAGACAAGAATGGAGAGAGTGGACAGACCTAACGAACACCACTCGAGGTAATCAGTTCTGGTGACAGTTCGCCATGAGCTCTCACTCGACCAGAGCATTTACAAGGTTAATGTACTTCTTTCAGTGACAAACACTGCCATAGAACCTGACGATCATCAAAGTCGAATGCTGTCTAAAGGTCGAGAAATACTACGATTGTGGGGTGTCTAGATGTGTGCCTATCTTCTAGGACCTGACGTAGTGTGAATATCTGGTTTAGACAGCCACTTCTGAATCTAGGCATGGGCTACAGCCTTCTATCGAGCCCCTCCATCGGTGGCTGATAGAGTTGTGATCTATTTGGGTTCAAGGTTGGTACGTATTCGGGGGTCGCCACGTCAAAAGATGTCTTTCCTTGTGCTTAAAGTTGGTATTTGCATGAAAGAGGCGGTTATTAAAGCATAGCTGCAACAGACGGTCACCATTATCTGATTTTTGGACCACGACACCATAAGATGCACCCAAGTATCTTTCCCTTTCGATTATTTTACCTACTTGAGCATTAAAGTCACCAGCCACTATTACTACATCAGAGCGCCTAGCTTTTCGGAGAAGGTCGGAGAGCTTTCTGTAAAACTCATCTTTTGCATCATCTGCGCTGCAGTCAGTGGGAGAATAGGCAGACACGAAGAAGAGGCAACGACGAGTGTCCCTATCTTTCCGAGTCCTTGCTGTTCTGTTTAGTCGGACAGTGCACAAACGACCATCTACTGTGATCCAGTCTAAGAGAGCTAGTTCTGCTCTAGGAGGTAATGTGTGGTGTGACATTTTTAGGGTTAGCCTTTTCTAACCCCTTCCTTCCTTGTGAGAAGGCAGCATTGCTGCAGATGCTGGTTGTCCGAGGGAAGCTCCTTACTGTCGCCACACCCCTCTACAGTCTGCGGTACGACTTTGCCCTCAGACCTTGAGTTGCTGCTTTTAGGTCTTACCGTTCTCCAATCGACCTGCCTGGCATGGTAGAACCTACATGAACATATGTTCCAGCCAGTATAGCTCGGTTGGGTCATCACAATAGACAAGCCCGACTACAACATCAAGGTAGCAGCTACGGTCCGGTCGCTTCATGAACAAAATATATGTATTGAAAAGTCCATTCCCGTTATTTGACTTATTTAATCCCGATATTTACTCAACGCGGATTAAGTCGAAAAAGATATACGAGAATAGTCAGGAGACATATTTCGACAGCAAACATCCATACGATCAAATTGGATTCAGATCCCGGCTCACTAAATTTGTATTTCTTATGTTAACTTGATAGCTTCGATTCCATGCTTTACAGTACATTTATCCTGAATTTAAATAAGCATTCCCATCTGTACGATAATTAGGAGTAGTTGGATTGGTGTATTAACTGAGAATTCCTGCAATAATGCAATTTAAGACATACGGGACTCGATAAGTATTGCTACAGACTGAACGTATTGTATTTCAAATTCAAATTAGCTTCCGAATAAAATACAATGGAATCACCGATTAGTACAAATTCCACAATCCCGTCGTTCTAGACTTCTGGTTGTTCTTGTTCTTTGTCGTCATTATGTCAAAAGTGATTTTGAGAAGTAGCATTTCCAAACTGAATATCCCCGGTCTCTTCACCAGCATCATTAATGAAACGATCTAGTAGATTTATATATTTGGGTTTTTGGATGTGGTATCTGTTATTCAGAATCATGATTAGGTCAAGGTTCTATTGATTATGTTTAAAGTGGATGAATATGTATAGAGAAAATGTATTAATCTCTACAACCTACATAGATATAGGTTTCTAAGGATCAACAAGACTCTTCAATAAATTATGTGGCTCTTTCCGAATCGGAGATATTTTATCATCCTAAATATATTTTTGAGAAAATAAGTATAAATGCAAAATTAGATAATCAGAACTGAGAAAATTTGAAATTGAATGCACTGTATTATATAGAAATATAAGATAGTGTGATGATTAGAAGTATTTGAATTATTATATGAACTAAGAATCTCAGAAATAGAGCAAGTTAATTCAAGAACAACTATTTGGAATTCGAAATTAAGTGGAAATCAAGTGCAAAGGAATCATTAGTTTATACAAACACCACAGATGAAAACATAGAAACATTTAAACTGTAAAATAATCGAACTAGTTATCATAGTTTTATAAGGTTACTATTATTCCTAAATGTACATTAAATGGTCTTAATTATTTGTTGACTTGGTTGTTGGCAGCCCTTGCAAATTCCTGAGAGAAGTCTTTAGAAGATGGGCAAAAACTGAGAATGCTTTGTTTAATCACTATACAATCTGGATCTCCTAGAATTCTAGACAATTATTGATTCGATTACTAATTCTGACATATTTCAACAAGCTTCTAGCACTTCAAAGTTAAACATAAACCTATAAATACCATTGCTTTCTATGCCTGGACTACTCTTAAAAGTAAAGCTACTTTTTTCATGTTTACGAGGCCCAAACCTAGAAGATTTCTAATAGATTCAGAAGCAGTTAGAAAGTTGGTGTCAAGTGTTCAAGTAATTACCATATTAGTACTCTTACAACCATATTATCAAACTCATGATCGTTCGTTAAAATGCACATTATTAACAAATCAAATTTAATCTTTATTTGTATGTTTTTATGAAACGCAAATCACACCCAGAAGCACCAAAGTACTTTTATAAAGATTTAGGGAATTTAAAAACCCTATGAAAGTTTGGGAGATTATCTTTTCATTTTGACTGTAATTACTTTTATTTAAATGAAATACATTTTTAAATACTATCAGCATTATAAACTAAGGTAGTTATTTACAGTTACGAATAATATTAACCATAATAATTTTAAAAAAAAACAAATACTTAAGTTCAGAATGAGTTTTGTGGATATTATAATAATCTTAATAGTTAGGATCATGAGTCAATTGAAACTAGATCATTATCGAAAACCTGGAAGCACTGGACGGCCGTTTCTTCCTATTGTGGGACTCTTCAATTGTGAGATAGTAAATTACTGAAGACAATGGTGGATGTGTCGCTCAATTTCGTGGATTAGTTGAAGTTAGACACTAAAACCGTTGGATGCCGGCTCAGTGGTTTAGTGATTAAGCGCTCGCGCGCGAGACTGATAGGTCCTGGGTTCAAACCACGCGGGGGGGATTGTGGATGTGCCCTGTTGAGGAGTCCCACAATAGGACGAAATGGCTGTCCAGTACTTTCAGGTTTTCCATAGTGGTCTAGCTTCAATTGACTCATGATCTCAACTATTAAAAATACTTAAATTGCTATAACTTAGCCCCTTGTATAATTAAAAAATATTCGCAACCCAATAAATTAGTTTAAAATTTGTATATCACCAATAATATTACGGGTTATATTTTTTGTAATATTGTTGAGTTATGCAGTGTCTTATTCTGATACTGATAAACAAGATTCCTGTATGTATATCCAATTAATTCATTGATTGAGAAGAAAGCTTCTTATTGACAAACCGAATAGAAAAATAACTACACTTCTTTATATCCATATTTGAATAATAGAGGTTAAAACTACATTTTTCCACCAATAGGGTATTTTTCTCTTCTTAAAAAAGAAAGCTTTGTTTCAACTAGTCGCGTGAGTATAACATTTGGTCGATGTTTGATTAGCCCACTGCATTACTTTCTACGCCTCAAAAAAACCAATTTGGCATTTTTGTTTTAACTTTAGGAAATGTATTGGTGAAAGGATACTTTCCTTACATGGAAATATGTTATTACAGTCAAAAGTGAATGTGCACCATTGGAGAGTCCAGTACTAGAGTGAAACAGCAGCCCAGTGCTTCCAGGTTTTGAGTGATAGTCTAACAAATGATGTAACATGGCGGCCTTCTTGAACATCTGGGTTACCTGTTCCTGCCATCTAGATA